AAAGGCTGACATCACCACACCTGGCTAATTTATTATTTTTTGTAGAAACAGGGTCTCACTATGTTGCCCAGGCTGGTCTCAAACTCCTGGCTTCAAGATATCCTCCTGACTCTGCCTCCTAAAGTACTGGGATTATAGATGTGAGCCACTGTGACCAGGATAAGACTATTTTTTTTTTTTTTTTTTTTTGAGATGGAGTTTCCCTCTGTTGTCCAGGCTGGAGTGCAATGGCACCATCTTGGCTCACTGTGACTTCCGCCTCCCAGGTTCAAGTGATTCTCTTGTCTCAGCCTCCCAAGTAGCTGGGACTATAGGCACGGGCCACCATGCCCAGCTAAGTTTTGTATTTTTAGTATAGATGGAGTTTCACCATGTTGGCCAGGATGGTCTCAATCTTTTGACCTGGTGATCTGTCTGCTTTGGCCTCCCAAAGCGCTGAGATTACAGGCGTGAGTCACCGAGCCTGGCCACTTTTTGCATTTTTAGTAAAGATGGGGTTTTGCCATATTGGCCAGGCTGGTCTCGAACTCCTGACCTCAAATGATCCACCTGCCTCTACCTTCCAAATTGCTGGGATTACAGGCATGAGCCACCATATCCAGATGTACTTTTGAAGCAAGTGTTTATTATAATTGCTAGTGCCACCCACTGTATGGCTCAGGAGACACACAAGCAAAGCCCCTGTTCCCCAGCAGCCCCAGGTCAAGTGAGGGAGACAGTTTCAGTATCCAGTGTGACAGCAGAGGCAGGCACAAGACAACTTATGGACACCTGGCAGCAAGAACCTTAGCTTTGCTGGGAGACTCGCAAGGGCAGGAATCAGCAAGGTGTGAACACCTTGGTGCATGAAAGCTCCACTTGGTGTTTGGACTTGAGAGAAGACTGGACATTCATATCTATTCAATGTGACTATTTATTTTTCCATTTACTACTTATTGATCACTAGCTGTATACCAGGCATTGTGCCAGGGCTAGAGATGTGGTAAGAACTGAGGCCCATAGAACCTCTGACCTCCCAGAGCCTACAGTCTAAATGAGAGAGGGAGGAAGTGCAGTGAAACAAAATGTCTTAGTTTAGTGAGACAAATAACTTCATCTCCACGATTATGCTAAGTGAGGTAACTCAGGAATGGATAATCAAACACGGTATGTTCTCACTGATTAGTGGGAGCTAAGCCATGAGGCTGTAAGGGCATAAGAATGACACAGTGGACATTGGGAACTTGGGGGGAAGAGTGGGAAGGGGGGAAGATAAAAGACAGCAAATATGGTGCAGTGTATACTGCTCAGGTGAGGGGTGCACCAGGTTCTCACAAATCACCACTAAAGAACTTATGTAACCAAACACCACCCATACCCCAGTAACTTACGGAAAACTAAATAAATAAAATAAAATATGTATTGACAGATTGACTATCTAAAATGCCCAAGGCACACTTGAGTATGGTCACACTTGGGATCATAAGACCGAGTCTCCGATCTTAAAGAATGTATTATCTAATAAAGTAAAATAAGATACATTAAAAAACAGAAAGCAAAAACCTTTATCTCACGGGCAGAGGAGAGCTCAAATGCTAATGTGTGTGAAAGCATTTTGCGCACACAGTGTGTGGTAGGTGCGTTTCCGTCTACATTACAGCCTGATGCCTTCTTCAAGATAAGCCCCCTCCTGTCTGAGACACACAGAGCTGCAGACTCCAGAAGGCCAGCCTCGCCCCGGTGACGTGGGAGTGTGGGGAGCAGTGAGAGCTGAGGTCTCCGAAGTGCATGCCCTAAACGACACTGTGGTGGGAACACTATTGTGGTTGGGTCATTGGTTCCGTGACCGTTTTAAAACACAAACTTTTTAAAGGTGACTTTGGCTGAGCAGAGGCCACCAGATTCTGAGAGGGCAGGTGAGACTCAGCAGTCAGGATAAGGCAGAGCTGGCTGAGGACAGGGCTGGGAGATGGGAAAAGAAAACAGGGACTAAAGCGGCCTGGTTATATGATTCTGTGATTTTTTTGTTGTTTCTTGTTCTTTATTATTGATTTATTTTTGAGATGTAGTTTCGCTGTCATTGCCGAGGCTGGAGTACAATGGCACGATCTTGGCTCACTGCAACCTCCACCTCCCAGGTTCAAGCGATTCTCCTGCCTCAGCCTCCCAAGTAGCTGGGATCACAGGTGTGCACCACCACGCCCAGCTAATTTGTGTGTGTGTGTGTGTGTGTGTGTGTGTGTGTGTGTGTGTGTGTTTGGTAGAGACAGGGTTCAGGGTTTCACCATTGTTGGTCAGAAGCAAAGTCAGTCATTGTTGGTCGAACTCCTGACCTCAAATGATCCACCTGCCTCAGCCTCCCAAAGTGCTTGTTTCTTGTTCTTTAAAAGTACCCTTTTGTGGCTACTTTTTGTGGCAAATATTCTTAACTTTTGATTTTAACCTAGAAAACTCTTCATAATGTCTATCATGCATTCAGCCCTTACTACATGTCAGGGACAGGGTGCAATGGGCCTCATTAGCCTTCACAGCAACTCCCTGAGTCCGACCCCACAGTCCCCATTTATAGATGGGACACAGAGACAGGCAGCAGTGACCAGCACAGAGGAATCAAACTCCTGACGCTCTTCCCGATCTGTGCGGTGGCTGGTGCCGCCCACAGCTCTCCCCATGTCCTTCCCATCCGCCCTGACTGCAGCAAGCTTTGGGGAGGCCATATGTGCTCAGGGGGTATGTGAGATGGCAACACACGTGAAGCCAGCATGAGAATGTCGGAATTTCAGGGGAAAACCGCTTTTCGAAAAACAGCTCTTATTCTTTCATCAGGCAATATTCCTTTGCCTGTGGAGCCCAGAACATCCTCCTCCACTTGAAACTGTCCCTTTCTTGAGGATGTAGCCTGAGTGTCACTCCTGGGGGCCATGCTCTCCCTGATGCCCTCTGCCTCTGGCTGGAGGAAGCATCTAGTCTCCTCCCTGATCATGTCCCACATTGCGTGCAATGTAAGTCATTTTCAGAGGCCTGCACTGCGTAGGGGGGCTGTGTTTTTGCCTTTCAACGTCCTTGAGGCATGACCTAGGCTGCCCTAGGTGAACCTGAGGGGCAACAAGAGATAGAGATTTGTGGAAGGGACAGCTCTGGACAGACCAAGAGCATTGGTGCCAGGTGTAGAACTCACTTTGGGAAACTGAGACCACTGGATGCAGTTCCGACACCCACAAGTCTCCAATGCACCCCAAGAGCCAATCAAAAACAGTGATTAGGACTGGGAAGCTCGAGGCCAGCTGTGACACCTAGGCCCTTTGGTCAAATATAGACCCATCACCCATGAGTAAAGGAAAAGAGAAGCAAAGTCAGGATGAGAAAATCAGGACTTCTGAGGTGGTCAGAGGAGAAGATCCAGTTCTTACAGCGAGCCAACAGAGAATCCCCAAAGGCTGCCCCAGATCCGCAGCTCACCTCCCCACCAGAGCACAATATCAGGAATGCTTCCCACTCTTGCTTCCTCTCACAGACACGAGGAAGTTGCATAGAAGGCCCTTCGAGGTGGTTCGGGACTGATTAGGTGAGGAGTGTGCTTCACCATCCGACTTGGTTCTTTTCTGAGTGATGCACAGCATGTTAATTCCCAAGCTAATCTTTGATTAACATCCAGGAAATTTGGGCCTTTTAATTAAAAGAAAGGGAAAGTCTAAAAAGAAAATAGGTCAATGGGCCTTTCCGAAAGGTGGTCCCCGTGAGGCTAAAGGCTTGCTTTGGAATTTTCAGGTTCCCCAGTGTTAATAGAATTTAGATCACATTGAGAATTTAGATCGCAGGAACAGAAAGCGCTGTCCTTTTTCACTGACCCAATTTGAGAAGTAAAAATTGATCAGCAGACCAGCTGGGCATTCAGACATAGACCACAGCATTTGCATGGACTGTTAAGAGTGTTATTCACAGCTTCTGGCCGAGGAGCTGGGTGCTTTCCTGCATCCAAGACAGCATGCTTGCAATGAAGGAACCCCTGCCTTCATCACCTGTGCATGAGAGAGATCTGTCATAGCCCCTGGGGTCGGGGTGAAGCCAGGTAGGAGAATGAACCAGGGTGGAGCGGGAGCGAGAACATCTGTCAACTCCGATTGCTTAGTAGCTCTGTGGAGGGAGGTAGCGACATGGAAACAGAAATTCCAGGGCCTCTCAACTGTATTCATCCTCTGGATTTCCTCCTTCCATTGCTAATGAACTAGAAAACAAACAAACAAACAAAAAAAGCGTGTTACTAAAATTTTAAAATTTAAAGGGTAATTAACATAGGTTGCACACACAGCTCTTAGGTGTATAGTTCCATGGGTTTTGACGAACGTATAAAATCCATGCAAACACCAGCCTGATCAAGCGCTACGACTTTTCCATGACCCTGGAATGTTCCCTCATGCCTCTTTTTGGGGAGATTCTCTCCAGAAGTGAGAGTGCTCTGTTCTGATTGCTCTCACCGTCACTTAGCCTTCCCTGCTCTGCAGCTCCATATGCACTAGATCCTACGGCATAGACTCTTTGGAAGCTGGCTTACACGGCTCACACCATTGTTTTGAGACTCATGCGTGGTATTGTGTGTATTCGTGGCTCCTTTTTTATCACTGGGTAATGAACATTCTACAGTTAGACCAGTTTGTTAACCTATTCATATTTTGATGGGCATGAAAAAAGAAAATTTGAAAGACTATAGAAAGGGGGAGAAAATAAACCATATTTATAGTCAGAATTAATACATTCATTCCACGGATGTTTGTGAAATGTCAGTGCTCTGCTAGACACAGTGCCCGTGCTTGGCACCGTGAGTGTAGCTGTGAAGGGAGCAGCCAGGCACTGGGGCTCATGCTCTTGGACCTAGTAGGAGTCGCAGATTGTGAACAAGTAAACAGATACATGGCTAAGATGGCTTTAGATTGTGGTAAGTTCTCTGAAGGCAATTCTCTCATGGAAAATAAACCAAAGATTACATTTTTGGACAGATACTGTGGTATAGCAGTTTTTTAAAAAAATTAAAATTGCTATTAAGATCGTGACTATGATAAAATAAAACTTTGCATCAATCTGTGATCTTCTGCCTTAAACATCCTTATTAACCAGTGAGTCCGGGGTAAAGTGTGAAATCCTCATCTCACACTGACTCTTTCTTCCTTGCCGTATGTGTTCCTAGGTCTCTTTCCTCTTAGCCTATTACTTCTCGATATTACAGACATATCTGTAATTGTTCAATGGAGATTTTGTTAAAAAAAAAAAATCCTGGTTCTAAGAAAGAAAACTAAGAATCATATGCTGTGGGATTTAAATTATTTCTTGCCAAAACAACAACCACCCTCTCTCTATGCAAGATTCTTAACACAAATATTTTCAAAGGAAGCTATTCTCTCCCTTCACCATGGGCTTTCTCTCTGTAGCTGGCATTGTTCAGACAGAGGAAGGAGGCACAGGGAAATACTTAAGCATTCTATAATAAAGTAGTTCATGGCACAATTAAAATGATGTACTAGAACAGTAACATGATATGCCGAATTTAAATAACTGAAGCTGATTAAGGAGGACGTCAGAATTAAATGCTTGGTGGAATTGACATAACAGATCCAAGATGGCCTCTCCATGTTTCAGCAGAGAGATGGTGGCAACCATTGATATTTTCCAGGCAAATTTGTTGATAGATAAAACATTTTTATAGACTTTCCATTATTCCTTGTAGCCATCAGCTTTTAATTTTCTCTTTCTAGTTAATATACTTGTGTATAATTTAAACAGAAAACTGTTCTGTTTCATCATAAAAGATTTGCCTGTTACTTTGGGTGTGTAAATCAAGTGGACAGCACAACATTCTTGAACTTGTTTTTTAAGGGATTTGTTGACAACAACAGAAAAGAAGATCACAGACGCCGCCAATAAGCGTGGACATCAATTATTTTTTAATTGTATAGGAGTACAGTACACTAATTAAAACTAGTATATCTTGCAATGCCAAAGGCAAAATTAATTATTAATTTTTATTAATATTCAGAAGTAGCACAAGGAATGCATTAATAAAGATTTGGTGGTTGTGACTGAGATCTTGTTTAGCTTTATATTTTAGGAAAAAAAAAAGGTTTTGTGGTTCAATCTGAGTAAAAAGAAGCTGGCACCGAAGGGATGATCTTTATTGAGATGGAACGTGCTCACCAGAGTGGGTATGTAGTGACAGGAGATGAGATGTGGAAGGAGATTATGTGAAAACCCCAAATGCTTGTCTATAACGGTTTGATCTGACAACTCTACATTCACCTGCAAAATTGTTGTTGTTACCTTAGATACTTTTGGTTATTAAATTGAGTATTTTAGTTAAGCCATCTTGAGTTGACATTTAATAATTCATTTAGGAGCCGTGCACAGAATATTATCCAGCTCACCAAATCCAAGATGAACAAAATTAGTTTTGTGCGCTAAAAAGATTTTGACAAGACTCTCTCCTCCTCTTCTCCCTCTCCCTTCTCAGCCTCTCCTCCTCTCTAGTTAGAAGCAAGTCTGCAAGGCTCTCTTATCCTACCTGGCAAAGACGGAAGCACACTCATAGTTTTTAGGCTAGCGTCTTTAAGCTTATCTCCATGCAGTCCTGAAACCATGTAGGATGTAGATAGGTCATTAATCAGTGCTTGCTTTTCTGCAACTGATGGCTTCTCATTTTACACAGCCTCTGATTAGAGATCTTTCATGTCCACTTCCTTGAGAAATAATTTTGCCTTTGTAAAGTCTGTACCAGTTAAAACCTTCAATGAAACCCAAAATGTCGACACAGCCATGTTGGGGGGCTGCCTGTGGACGTGTGGGTTGGTCAGCCACAAGCTCTGATATCCCAGAACACATGTCCATCCGCCTGGGTGGGTAGAACCATCAGACCCACATCCTCCTTCGCCTACCACGTGGGGAGTGCTATGCCTCGCACAGCTCAATCCTGCATGTTCGCGAATCTTCAGGGGTGAAAAGGAGAGGAACAGAGCATTCACAGCTACAATGAAGCTACAAGCAGTTGTAGGCAAAACTGTATGGTACAGCATATGCACAGTGCATGCCTTCCCTTCACACCTCGGAAGGCAGCAGGACTCCCCGGCAAGCGCCAGCTGTCACCATTCCCTTGGGAAGGCAGCTCTCTGAAGAATACTTCTTCCACCTGATGGTCCACCTTCCAGAATGCAGCTCCTGGGAAACAGCATCAGGCCAGTCTGGGAAGGCATGTGTTTCCTCGGATGTATTGGAACGTTTCCTCTGAAAAATAGGAGAAAAAGTGGATCTGATGTCATACTGGCAACCTCTGATGGGACTCACATGCCTGAGGGAAAAGGTGGCCGCACAGTCAGAATCAGGATTGACTCCAGATAAATGCGTGGCCATATTGGCTCATTTCATCCCATCAGAGTTTAGTGGGGGGTGAAGGAGGCTGGTTTCATCGAACCCTGGCATGTGATGCACCAGCTGCCTACAGGTGACATTAAAGATAGCCAGATGATCTCTGACTCCTAGGACTTTAAATGCTTAGCAACTCATATCAAGAGAAGTTACTTCTTGCTTTGTTTTTTTTTAAAATTATTCCTCCAAAATGACATAGATAAATATTGCAATGTATGCCAGCCATTAGTGAGACATTATGATGAGTTTGTTTACAAAAATGGGATTTCATTCATTCGTTTTTTTATGAGCACCTACACTATTCTGGGAGTTTTGCTAAGCCTGGGGGATTCCAAAATAAATATAAAAGGTAAGTGTTTGAGTTAGCTGTTGCTGCATAACAGACAGCTCCAAAACTCATGAACTTAAGCAGCAATCCTGCATTACCGCCTGCGTGTCTATGAGTTGGCTGGGGTTTGGATGATCTAGAATGGGCTTGACTAAGCTGCTCTGCATCTGGGATTGCTAGGGTGTCTACCATGTCTCTTTCCACCTGTCCCTCGCTCTTTTTGGACCAGAGAGCTAACTGGGGCTTGTTCTCCCCGTGGTGATACCGGAGGCACAAGAGGGTCTACTGAAACCCAAGGGCTTCTAAAGGCCTCATCTCAAAATTGGCACCCTGCTGTGTTCATCTACACTCCACTGGCTAAACGTAAAACATACAGCCAACCTCAGAGCCCAGAGTCAGGGAAGCATATGCCACCTGCAATGAGGCCATGACAAGGGTGTGGATGCAGGAAGGTGTGATGGAGGTCAACGATGATTCCTATTCTTCATTCTGCTGGTGGGCATAGGAATGATGTTTTGGTACATTAAGGCCGCTATAACCAAATACTATAGACTGGGTGGTGCATACATGACTGGTATTTAGTTCTCACAGTTCTGGAGGCTGGGAAGTCCAAGGCCAAGATGCTGGCGGATTCCACGTCTGGTAAATCAGCTTTCTGGTTCCTAGATGATGACTTCTTGCTGTGTTCTCACATGGTGGAAGAGGCAAGAGATCTCTCTTGGGCCTCTTTAATAAGACCACTAATCCCATGCATAAGGGCTCCACCTCCATGACTTAAGGCCATCACCTTCGGGTGAATTTCAGTATAGGAATTTGGGAAAAACACAGACATCCAGAGAATAGCCAATGGTGACTTCTGCCCTGAAAGTATTGAGGAAAAAATTCCCACTCCATTCCCTCATTCCTAAAGGACAGCTGCTGGGGAGGGTGAGAAGAATCTGATGTTTATGGGTGGCTTAAGCTGTGAAAGATTTGCTATTCCCTGTGGTCTTCCTCAATTTTTCCTTTAGGGACCACAGGGGAAAGATGCTCTTGGCTTCTGCTTCTGTGTGGCAGCTATCCCTCCTCATGACAAGTCCAGGGCCTAGTTCTGTCTCTGCTTTCAGAAAACAGTGGGCACACAGTCCCCTGGACTCTGTCCGTGGCCTGAGACTAGACAGAGGAAGACAGGGGGCCTTGGACTCTCTGCAGATCCATTCCAGCTCTGCAAACAATCATGCTGATATTTTAATTCATCCTTGACCCTTGGATCTACTTCTTATTTGTTTGAGGACTCAGAGGGGAAGTCCTCTGATTAGCATCTTAGAAGTTCCCAAAATGACACACGGATTCTGTCCTTGCAGAGCTCCCAGGGTGATGCAGGGCCTGTCTGGGGATAATACGGGGCCAGGGCCTTGACATCCCTACACACGGAGGCATCCCCTTTGCTGAGGTTAACTAGACATAGACTCTCCCTCCTCTCCCCACCTCAAACATGCCCCAATTAATGTCCCCATTGATCTAGTGGGGTGGATCTTCAGCTTCACAACATACTGTGGAAGACAGGTGGTGCTTACATGAGAAAGGGAACAGCAGAGAATTAACACATGATCCAAGCAACTGGATCAATGGAGACATCCCAATTTGATAAATCAGGCCCAGTTTTGTTGTGTTATCAATCTTCACCTATGTAGTTTGTCCACCAGGTGGTAACCCAAGACATTGCCCTGCCTCCAGTCCTACTGCTGGTGCCCCAGCTCTTCTCTGCACCAGCTCTCATCCTTTCCACTCCTCTGTCCACTCACTTGCAACATGGTGAATACAGGACCACCTCTTCAGATGACTGAACCTCCATGAGATCCAGCGCATGGGAAGCTCTCGGCACAGTGCAGGGTACACAGGAAGTACAGATGGGCCACGAGTTTCATCACTGACCTAGTGCACACACTCTTTGAGGTAGAGGCTGGCAGAGACTCAAGTTGCATCCTCCCCCAAACAGATGTGGACCCTGTTAATCGTGGTCTTTCATCTTTGCTTACAGTTATGTGACACGGCTTCTCTAAGCAGATTTAGGGAGAGATTTGTTTTCATAAATCATGTTTATATGTTACTGAAGCTTTGTTTACTCATTTAGGAACAAGCTAAGGGCACTGAGGTACATGTCTGTGGGGATGGACGGGTGGAGGAGGGAAGCGTTTGGAGGAGTTCTTTGCTACACACAGAAAGGTGGGAACTGACCCAAGAATCTGGCCTCAAAGTTAGATGTCGGGCGATTTCATTGTTGGACAGGCTGAGGGACAGTCTCAAAGCGGAGCTGGGTAAGGCTTCTTCTCCCAGATCCTAAAATTGTGCAAGTCCATGAGAATCCCTTTTTGATTACATCATGAACTTCTGGCAGAAATATTTCTGGTACCTAACCTTAAACCAGAGGATGTTGCATTGGCAGTGGCAGCGCTGAAAGCATGAAGCCTCAGAAGTGGGACAGCTGTTGGAAATCAGATGTTGCCTAAGAGAGTTTATTATGCTTCCTCTACACTGCTCACCCTCGCCAAAAGCTAGGAGAGATCCTTTCACCAACAGGGACGCATTTCCTCTCTAGGGTTTCCTGTGCCACCTGTAGGGCCAAGAGATTCCCTGGATATTCAGAATATGCAGAAACTCCTCTGACAAGCACAAGCAGCTTTGCTTAAGCAAAGCATGTGAAGGTGTCCAAGGTGGCTTGGATAAACTTTACAGTCACAGAGAAAGCTCTGAGCCTTCTTCTGGCCTGTGGGCATTAACCTGAACCACAGAAATGTATATATATGTTTTGGAACTGTTATACTATTCTGCCTTATTTATTTATTTATTTTTGTACTTTAGGTTCTGGGGTACATGTGCAGATCATGCAGGATTGTTGCATACATACCTACATGGCAATGTGGTTTGCTGCCTCCATCCCCCATTGCCTATATCTGGCATTTCTCCCCGTGTTATTCCTCCCCAGCTTCCCCATCCCCTGCTGACCCTCCCCTGGCCCTCCTGACAACAGACCCCAGTGTGTGATGCTCCTCTCCCTGTGTCCATGTGTTCTCATTGTTCAACACCCACCTATGAGTAAGAACATGCAGTGTTTGATTTTCTGTTCTTGTGTCAGTTTGCTGAGAATGATGGTTTCCAGATTCATCCAGGTCCCTACAAAGGACACGGACTCATCGTTTTTTATGGCTGCATAGTATTCCATGGTGTAAATGTGCCACATTTTCCTTGTCCATTCTATCATCCATGGCATTTGGGTTGATTCCAGGTCTCTGCTATCGTAAACAGTGCCACAGTGAACATACGTGTGCATGTGTCTTTATAATAGAACAATTTATAATCCTTTAGGTATATACCCAGTAATGGGATTGCTGGGTCAAATGGGATTTCTATTCCTAGGTCCTTGAGGAGGTGCCACTCTGTCTTCCACAATGGTTGAACTGATTTACACTCCCACCAACAGTGTGAAAGTGTTCCTATTTCTCCACATCCTCTCCAGCATCTGTTGTCTCCAGATTTTTTAATGACTGCCATTCTAACTGGCGTGAGGTGGTAAATAAACTAGGTATTGAAGGAACGTATCCAAAATAATAAAAGCTATTTATGACAAACCTACAGCCAATATCATACTGAATGGGCAAAAACTGGAAGCATTCCCTTTGAAACCTGGCACTAGACAAGGATGCCCTCTCTCACCACTCCTATTCGATATAGTACTGGAAGTTCTAGCCAGAGCAATTAGGCAAGAAAAAAAAATAAAGGGTATTCAATTAGGAAAGGAGGAAGTCAAATTGTCTCTATTTGCAGATGACATGATTGTGTATTTAGAAGACCTATCATCTCAGCCCAAAATCTCCTGAAACTGATAAGCAACTTCAGCAAAGTCTCAGGATACAAAATCAATGTGTGGAAATCACAAGCATTCCTATACACCAATAACAGACTAACAGAAAGCCAAATCATGAGCGAATTCCCATTCACAATTGTTACAAAGAGAACAGAATACCTAAGAAAACAACTATCAAAGGCTGTAAAGGACCTCTTCAAGAACTACAAACCACTGCTCAATGAAATAAGAGAGGACACAAACAGGTGGAAAAACAGTCCGTGCTCAGGGTTAAGAAGAATCAATATTGTAAAAATGGCCATACTGCCCAAAGTAATTTATAGATTCAATGCTATCCTCATCAAGCTACCGATGAGCTTCTTCACAGAACTGGAAAAAAAAACCTTAAACTTCATATGGAACCAAAAGAGAGCCCACATAGCCAAGACTTTCCTAAGCAAAAAGAATAAAGCCAGAGGCATCACACTACGAGACTTCAAACTATATTACAAGGCTACAGTAATCAAAACTGCATGGTACTGATACCAAAACAGAGATATAGACCAATGGAACAGAACAGAGGCCTCAGAGGCAACACCACACATCTACAACCATCTGATCTTTGACAAACTTGACAAAAACAAGCAATGGGGAAAGGATTCCCTGTTTAATAAAGGGTGTTTGGGAGACTGGCTAGCCATGTGCAGAAAGCAGAAACTGGACCCCTTCCTGACACCTTACACTAAAATTAACTCGAGATGGATTAAAGACTTAAACATAAGACCTAACACCATAAAAACCCTAGAAGAAAACCTAGACAAAACCATTCAGGACATAGGCGTAGGCAAGGACTTCATGACTAAAACACCAAAAGCATTTGCAACAAAAGCCAAAATAGACAAATGGGACCTAATTAAACGCCAGAGCTCCTGTACAGCAAATGAAACAATCATTACAGTGAACCAGCAACCAACAGAATGAGAAAAAAAT